TCTTTCTTAAATTCTGTTTCACATTCTTAGTAGATTTAATACTCTCAGTGGATGGATGTTTATCTGGCTTGTCAACAAAATCCTCAGCCACAGTCAGTTTCTCTAACTTTGGACCTTGCGACTCTTCCAAAACATCCCCATTCGACCTTGCAACTGAATCATCCATTCTGGTGTGCCACTGTAGTTGAAGAGAAACAATATTTTCAACAAAAGTTTTCGGGGAGGGAGCATACGAATAAATGCATGACAACCATCAAAAAATTTAACTACTTAAGTAAAATACTTTTTAATAAGTTCAAAGAAAGTATCCATGAAGTAATATGCTAAAGAAAATGAGGGAAAAATACTCCATAATTTCCCTACTAAAAGGACTATTATTCCACATTTTACATGCCATGTCATTTTTTACAAAGCCATTTCCAGTTTTGAAAGTTGCAACAACAAATGCATCTCATGATTCATAATTTGAGCAAAACACATTTTGATAAGCTAAAAATGAATGAATTAGATCCAGAATAAAAAATGCACATGCCCACATCAATTTTTTTCCACATCCGGGCAATTTAAATAGCAGCACTGGACACAAACGGAGCAAGTAAAACGGCCGGCGGCTCCGTACAACCGTACATCGGCGACGCCGGGATCTGGCGCGCAGAGTGACAGTGGAAAGGCACTTACCTAACTGCGTTTACTTTGGGGTTTCGCAGGAGGAGGAATCGTTGGGAGCAGATCATCCATGGAGAGAAAGCTTTCAAAGCGTTACAAGAAAAAATGCTGCAGAGAGATAATATGATGATTAAATGAGTAAATGGAGGGAGACTTTGCCATTATTCGAAAAACTTTTTGTCTCTCAAATGCGTAACCGCTGTCTGCAGCTTTATTCATTTTAAGGCAATAAATATATCCACTCCAACCCCCACTTTCAAGAAAAAATATACTCCGGGTACTCCTTAAGTAATACTCCGTATACTTCTTCTATCCTAAATGAATGTCAATGTCATTAATATGGTTGTTCGATGATTTTTATTTGTTTGTGTATTTTATTTATCATTTAATAAAATTAAATATTCTTGTTATCTTTTGTTTTGTAGAATTTTTTATATATTTATGAATGATGTAATTTGTACTTTTTATTTTTATGCTAATTTATAACTAATATGATTCTTAAAATGATAAGATTTTACAGGTTGTTTAGAGTGTGATATCCATTGTCGGACGGAGGGAGTACTCCGTAAGTCATACTCTCTTACTCTTATTAATATGTACTTATTGCTTATTTTTATTGAAATTAGATCAAATTATATTAGAAACAGCTTTAAATATAAATATAATCATATTAGTACGTACTCTAATGGGATAATCATATCGGGTGAAGAGAACATGGCTAAGTCTCAAGTTCGATTCCTGACAATTGCAATGGGAGACAACGATGGTAAGCATAGAGTCTTTGCCGGTACCAGGTGCAGGTCCACTCTTTGTCACCAATCTGCCATCAAAGTCCAAATTACCTTCTTTCAGTGACTGTCTGATGGAATTGAGAAGACGCTCGAGGATGAGGATCATCATTTATAAATACTAAGTCCCAAATAAATATAATTTTTTAGTCTAAAGAAATCATGTTTATTTAGACCACATCTAAAGCGTGCTCGACCACCCTGCCCAATGTGTAACAATATCCAAGTTGTTCGTCTGCACGGATGAATACGTGGATAGATTTGTTTCGTTTTTTCATGTCAAGCTAGTATCTTTGGAGGTGGAGACGACATGGTATCATTTTTGGGTAATGCTAGAGTCACAAATCAAATATTCATAAAATGCACAAACTTACCCAATGTATATGTAAAGTAATGGTCTCAAATAATTTAAAAATAAAAATTTAAATACACAAATGATAAGTTTCTACATTTTGTGAGTGTTTTGTTTCGCATGGTATCATTTTTTGGGTAATGCTAAAGTCACAAATCAAATATTCACAAAATGCATGAATTTACCTAATTTGTAAAGTAATGGTTTCAAATAAGGGAATTTCTTCCATGCCTTTACTAATGAAGGGGCATGGATGTCCCTCCAATAAATTCTAGCCATGTGGACTTTTTAATCATATAAATAAATAAAATACTCAACATCATTTTAAATTTTAAAAATTACATAATAACATCATTTTTTTCCTTTTACTTATCTAAGGCTCTTTTCTTTTGAATGAAAATTTATTTCCAACATTTTTCAATTCTCTTCAGTTTTTTCAACCACTTCAAGTTTATTCCGATAACAACTTAAAAAATTTATTTATTTTTATTTTTTAATAATATTCCTGTTACATTAAATATAATTATAATTATTACTATTGCTACTATTGTCATTATCTAATTAAAATAAAATAAAGAACTAAAGTAATAGCACAATTTCCATATAAAAAATATTTCTATTGTCCCAAAAACATATGCGGAGTATTAGTTATCATTATAGAGTCAACGTAATGCGGAGTATTTGCTTGTACTAGTTGCTTATACTTGGTGCTTTATCTGTGTTATAATGTGTTCCCTTCCATATTTTTGTGCAGGTGGAGCCGGGGGTCTCTTGGAAACAGCCTCCCTACTTCCGAGTAGGGGCAAGGTTTGCGTACACACACCCTCCCCAGACCCTACTGATGTGGGATTCAACTGGGTTGTTGTTGTATAGAGTCAACGTAAAATATTAATGTTAAATGAATTAATTTATTCTATATGCATTCCTCTTTGTTATTTTGTAATAATCCATAACTCCTTTTATTTGTTGATTGAGATAATGTTAAATTATTTATGCCAATTTTTGGTTTAAATAAGATTAATGAAAAATTAGTATCACACCTGTGCATTGCACAGCTCCATTTATATTATTAAATTATATTCGGATCATTATTGAAGAATAAAAATTAATATATATGGAGTAATATAAAATAAAGTTCAATAAAGGATTGAATATGAAAATTTTATCTCTATCATAGTGGAATATGTACTACTAATATTGATGAGTGTTTTTATAATAAAATATATATTTCATCCGTTGATTTATTTTCATTTATACTAAAATATACTATGTTGAATATTTACTTCTTGCCATTTTTATATGATATTTTTATACTAATAATTAATTTCTACTCGTTGATTTATTTACATTTATATAAAAATTAAATATGTTGAATATTTATTTCTGAATATTTTCCAAAAATAAACCTTATTGCAAGGCTATTTACTAAACTATTTATAGAAATATATACTAAAGAAAAGACACCTCAAAGTGAGATAAGAATGTCATTTAAAAAAAAGGCCAGTGGAGGTAAAAGTTTAAGAAAAAAGTCAATAAGGACCTACACAACGAAACACCCCACATAATAAGCTCATTATATAATATTATTCATTTCCCTTCTAGAATCCTTGACCGTGACTAATAAAAATATTTATATTTATTTATTAATTAAAATTCATATATAACATATTTTATTATAATAAATCTAGATCATCCCTAGAAACTTTGACCGGGATTAATAAAAGTATTTATATTTATTTAATTATAAGAGTCTATATACAACATATTTTCTTAAAATAAATCCAGACAACCACTAAAACCTTTGATCATTATAAATAAAAATATTTATAATTATTTATTTATTTATTAAAGTCCACATGTAACAAATTTTTCCTAAAATAAATTTAGACCACCCGCTATAATTAAATGATGATGGTGTTAATCTCAATATATAATAAGCTCTTTATATTAAAAAATCCATTTATAACAAATTTTTCTAAGATAAATCTAGACCTCTCCATATACAATAAAAAGCATATCTATGATGAAAAAAATCCTAATAATATTATGCATTTCCCTCCTAGAACCTTTGAGTGTGATTGATAAAAATATTTATATTTATTAATTTAGTTACTAAAATTCATATGTAACAACTTTTCCTAAAATAAATCTAACCATTTCTAGAAACTTTGACATTGACTAATAAAAATATTTATATTTATTTATTAAAGCCCATATATAATAAACTTTCCTAAAATATATCTAGAGAACGCCTATAAATTTCAACCGCGATTAATAATAATATTTATATTTATTTATTAATTAAATTATAAAGTCCACATATAACAAATTTTCCTAAAATAAGTCTAGACCTCTCCATATATAATAAAAAGGTTTAACACATCTTTATTAAAGTCCATATATAAAAATTTTTCCTAAAATAAATCTAGACCAACCCCTAGAAACTTTGAAAATGATTAATATATAGAAAGTATTTATATTTATTTATTAAAGCCCATATATAAAAAGATTTCTAAAAATAAATCTAGATTGCCCGTAGAAATTTGACCGTGATTAATAATAATATTTATGTTTATATTTATTTATTAAATTCCGTATAAAACATTATATTCTTCCCTAAAATATATCTAAACCTCTTCATATATAATAAAAAGTCAACACATCCATGGGCGGGAAAACTGGTCAAAGAATTCACCTCTTTCTAAATAAAGTATAGATATTAGTACATGGTTATTGGCATTTAAATTAAAGAATAAGAAATAAATGGTTTAAGATATCGGTCTGGTTCTAGTAACACCGGAGAACGGTGCCACTCCGATGCCACTGAGTTTTTGGGGCACCTCTGGTGCTTCGTTCGTAAAATTAACGGTTCCTACTATCTTACTCACCCCTAAACCTCCCACCCTATCCCTACCCATGCACACCCACGTAAACCCCCCACAAAATGTGTGGCTATCACATTTTGTGTGGGGCTTACGGCGAGGTTGGGATGGGGTGCAGGGTGGAAATAGAGTGGGAGGTTTAGGGGGTGGGTTAGGGAGATAGTAACCGTCAATTTTACTATCTAGTGTCAATTTTACTATCTAGAGTGGGGGGTTTAGGGGGTGGTTTAGGGGGTGCAAGGTGCCCAAAAACCGCACCACTAGTGTCACCCTTTTCCAGAATTAAGAAATAAACATGTATACTAATTTTCCGGTAGTCATTTTCCGTTTCTTCTTCCCTCTCCCCTCTGGGGCATCAATCCCTCCCTCCATCGCCGCCATCTCAAAGCTTTCTTCCTCATATCGCAAGCGAATCTTCACTAGAAAGGCCTGAATTCTTGGCCATGTATCCTTTCAGGCCCAACCTCCTGAACACCCTCAGATCCATGAAATACCTCCAGAGAATGCGATTCGTCTCCGCCGATCGGGACATCGCCGCCGCGGCTCGCGGCGTCGAGAAGGATCGGGAAGATCAGAAAGCCTTGGACGACGGAATCGCTCACTTATCCATCAAATCTCTGTACAAGGTCACCAATATGGAAGACGAGGTGCTTCCCCTATTACTCTCTTCGGCAATCAATTTCATCGCCTTCGCCGGCAAAAACCAGGACGAGGTCCAAATATCGCTTCCATTCAAGGCCGCGGATAATTCCGTGAAGGATGCGAATCTCTTCGTCAAGATCGTAGATCCGAAAAGTCCGCCGTCATTCACGATGGTAGATCCTCTCTTTGAGGCGACGCAATTGGCTGAGATGATGACTTGTATGCTCGGGATGGTTTTGTCGAATGATCAGACTGTAGTGGAGTCTGTTCAGGGCGGCCAGACTCTGCTGGTGATGACGAGGAAGAAGGACCAAGAGGAAGTGCTCAACAGGGCATTGCAGAAGAGGCTGAGGCGGTTCAGGGACAGGAAATTGATGGGGAAGAAGTATTTGGAGCACATGTTGGAGCCATTGAAGAGTGTTTGAGCTGCTCTGAATTCTAATACAGAGAATGATTGATCCGTGTTCTTCGTCCCTGGTTTTTATGGTTAATTAATTACTAGATGTAATTTCTTCTTGATGTAGGAGAGTTATATCCTTTGATTTGAGATTATTACCCTAAGATTTTTGGACTGTCTTAAAGTATGAGCTGAGTTGAGCTAAGAAGAGAACAGTTAAGCTGAGTTGATTTTTGGACTGTCTTTGTTGAAAAAAAATTCTACTTTGCATCTCATTTTCTGTTCTCTTGTTTTATTTTTCCAATCAATTATTGTTGATAGAATAAAATATACTCTGTATTTTACAAACATGATGGTCTAGATGAATAAAATGTGGTCTAGATGGCATGGGGAATGCCAACTTTTATAAAGAAGATGTTTTTTTCTAATATTATGGTGATATAAAACTGTTTAGTATATGAAAAAATTCAAGTTTTAAATATCTTTGAACAACACTTTTTCACTACTAATCTTTTAAGCTGAGTCGGCAGATGAATTTGGCGGTGGCTCCATTATTCACTGTACCGCCAGGATTGAGTCCCGGTTTGCTCAATTCACCTGGATTCTTCTCTCCCTCTCCTCAGGTAATCTATTTAAATATCCAATTAATCTCAGAGTTTCCTGATTCCTTTGTGTTTGATTTTTAGAGATAGCCCAATTTCCTTGAAAAAGAAATGATTTTTATTGTGTTTCAATTAGGTTGATCAGAATTATAAATGAAATGAAATTACAGCACTGTTAAAGATTTAAGGGATCCTGGTGAATCTTTTCACTAATTAGTTTCTGAAGTGCTTTAGCCTTCATTTAGTTTTTTGGGGGATTATGATAAATGTTGAGAGATACTGCCTACAGGCATTTTCTGTGAAGATCCTCAATGGAGCAGGTGATTGTCATAATGTCATCAGCTTTTGGTAGTTTGTCATCCTGATTCCTGAGCCAACATGAGAAGTGCCATGTCAACTTTGGAGTGTAAGCTAATTGTTAAGTAGAGATCAGCAGTTAAGTAGTGACAATACTGATTAGAGGAATACATGAATAAAATTCTAACACTAGCCTGTAATCTATTCTATTATGAAGCTTTGAGTGTAGAAGGAAAATGACCAGATTGCTTAGTTTGCAAGAAGTAGCTACCACCATCTCTAAGGTTATTACCCGGGATAGCTTCAGTCCCTAAAAGTAGCATGAAGTACAAGAATAGACATATTATGAAAAAGATTATTTTTAGGTCATTGTGAATGAGTTGCAGAAAGAGATCATATGAAGCAACATAGTAAAGAATAGAAACAAGACAATCCAAGTTCCAGAATACAAGAACATAGGAAAGAATAGGACAATGTTATAGCATAGAGAATATGAGCAACCAATCAAAACTAGCAACAAGAGCTAAACATGCCTTTCTTTTCATCTCTTTAAGCAAATCCTCAACACCTGTTCTCTGAGCACCAATAGTCCCCAGTTGCCTCTGCAAAGAAAACACAGCAACAACTCAAAAAAGAATGAAATAACAAAATAAAACAGAGCAAGAACTATGTATGTCTACCTAGCATTAGACCCAACTTGCCTATGACAAGTGTTCTCCTTTTACATGAGTATGTGAATCTTATATGACTTTTGGACTTTACAAAACACACACCAATTTGCACAGCCTTCTACTTCTTCTTTAAGATCATGTAAGCTAAAATATGAAGTTCTATCCAGATCTTTGATTGGCTGCTTCATCTCTCCCACAAAATGAGATCTGCTACCTTGGGGAGAAAAAACTCAGGTGTGACTTTGCTCTAATAAACGGTCTTTTATGTCCCCTCTTTGCCTGGAAAATGTTCAGAGGGGTGTGGGTGCCACATTTTGAAACCTCAAAAACTTTAGAAATAAGTTTTGAAAATAGAGTGAGTATTGTTGCCAATTTCCCAAACCACAAGAAGCACCGGAGTTATTTGGCCTTTTTTTTACTCATAAACTAAATCATGGATGTATAAAGCAAAGCTGATAGCCAATTTAAAATAAAAAACCTAGTTATATCCCCCTACCAAATATCATTAGGTTGATATGAAATAGCTAAAATATGTTCGGTCCACATGATTTAAGACTGAATATATATATTTATTCTACATTCAAATCATGTCTTTGTAGTGTTCCGGAAGATCAATGAAATTTACAAGAGCTTTATAGTAAAAAAATTTAAATACATTCAAACAACACCAAAGAGTTTGCTATGTTAAAAAGCAAGTGACAATTTTAATTTCTCTTGATTAACTGCACTCCCAATATCTAATCTGTTTGGAGTTCGAACCCACATCTCTTATGCCATTGCATAAATGCTCCACCTGTTGAGCTAATAGGTTTTCTTATGTATAGGGTAGACTACAGATTAATTCTCTACGGACAATTTTAGATTAATTATGTCAAAAAATTGAGTAAGGAATAGGTCATGGCAATTGGGTCAATCACTTCAGTTCCGGTTCATATCTTCTCAGTTCGGGTCTCTTTCGGATATATATTATAATCAGTTCGGGTCTGATCAGTTCGGTTTTGGGTTAAATTCGATTTGATTTTTTCCGGTTTTGGGTCGGTTTTGGTTCGCGTTTATATCCGTTCGAGTTTATATGGGTTTGGATTTATAGCGGTTCGAGTTAATACTGGTTTCAGATTAGATCTTTTGGTATTAGAGTTCCTAATGTTAGAGCAGAGGAAATGGGGCTGACGCACCTCGGCGTTAATCGTCGTTTGACGCCATTTGGGCGTTAAACACCGCCCCCTGGCAGCGTTATGGGGCGTCAGCCCCAACACATCAAACGTTTAACGCGACGCTCTCCACCCCCAACGGCAAAAAATGCTAAATTAGCCGTTAAACAAAAAATTATAAATTTAAAAAATAATTAATAAATTCCCTCAAAACAAACCTATCACTCACACATCTCTCACTATCTTCTCTCTACAATTCTATCAAATATTCTTTCAAATATTTGATTATTTATTATAACTATTTATAAAATATATTTTAAAAATGAGATCATCTTAATCTGATGATGAAAAAAGAGTTCTCATGTATGCATATATTATTTTTCATAATATGATCGTAGAAGACAATGGGTTTGCGATTTGTCAATACAACTCGGATGAGGAGATGCCTATGTACGAAGAAAATCGACGAAGAAAAGAAACGAAGAAACCGCCAAGAAATTCGAAGCTGAGAGATTCACAATGCACTAACGGTGAATTTAATCGAACATATCTCCAGTCACTCGAATAATTAGTAATTTGTTTGTAGTGCTGTTTTTTTTATGGATGTAATTTTTTTTAATGAATGTATTTTTTTTATGAATGTATTTTTTTATGGATGTAATATTTTTTTAATGACTAATTTTTTTATGCACTATTCTCCTTCGATTATTTTAAATAATTAAATAATTAAAATTTATTATTTTAAATTTAGAAGATGTATATTTAAAAATGTAAAAAATGAAGCGCCGGTTTGAAGCCCCGAGGCTTCACGGGTATTTCCAGTGCCCTTAGCCTTGTGTGTAACTTCTCCTCCCTATGTGTAAAGGGAGTATATATACAAGTGTTAACAATACTGAACTAGTATATCAATTAATAAATCGGATTCGGTTCCGGATTATTGGGTCCGGGTCAGTTTTGCGAGTTGTAGTAAAGAAGAATGGAATTACATATCATTGATTGTTGAGTCTAATAAATTGGAGGAAAAAAAAGAGAATTTGAAGCCATCGCACAAGAGAAACAAAAATACTCAACTCCATTTTCTTCTTCTTCTTTTTTTTTAAAAAAATGCTAAAGCAGGCAAAACTGTAGATGTTGGAGAATAAAATAAGGAGTACGAGAAACGTAGCCATTGTCGTGTGGTAACTCTGAGTGAAGCACAACTTGTGTTGTGCTCCCACCACAACAACAAACAGGCTCGGCTCGTTCAAATGTGTACTGCTGCTATTACGGAGTATACTAGTTTTCTACCCCGTGCTTCGCACGGGCTCGTGTTATATGCGTGTTGTTTGTGCTTTTTAAATGTATATTTGATAGACAAAATAGATGAATACCAAGACGCAATGTGTTGTTCGAGTAGAAATAATCATTTTTATAAGTATGTTAGTTGTCATTTTTTAAGTAACTACAAATTTAAGATATTCAGTAATGTTGTAGATATAGAAGCGAAGTCCCTTTGAATTAAAAGAGAAAAAGGAAAAGAAAAAAATGCAGCATTATAACCAAACTCCAAACTCTCAAGTTCTAACGACTACAACACGACAGTATCAATTATCTCAATCTAAAATAATGATTAAAGCAAAAACTGTCATCCAATAGCCAAACAAACTTGCAATAAAGGACAATCTGGTCAAAATTTGAGTAAAGATTTTGGTACCAAGGTGTAACAAACAGCAATTGTATATACATCCTCCAACTTCATCACCAATTTAGCCAAACTTAAGGCTCTTCGAAGCAAACCAAATCAGAATTAAACTACAAATAGAAGTTGCACAACCAAACAGAATTAAACTTTTACAATTAGACCTTGTCGGCAAAATACCAAGCTTTTTTTGTCACATGTTCAATATGTAATTATATATAGTAGACCAAAAAAAGTTGGGTTCCATGAAGACCGCAAATGATATTTGACAGCTAAACCCCAACACTAATAAAGATCTGTATTCATAGTTTGTAAAATCATATGATTGGGTCTGAAAAAGAGTAAATGAGAAAATGAGTAATTTTTCCGCCAAATGTCATTGATATTGAACTGCCAAGAGATATTATGCCTACTTTTACAACACAAACATTTCAGCCTTGAGTTAGAATTAGAGAAATAATTTTTTCAATAAAACTAACTTCAATTTCTTCATAAAACATGTAATATACTCCCTCCGTCCCGGAGTATTCGTCCAGTTTTGATTTTTGGAACTATTCATCTAAGCACTTTGACTCATCAAATTCTCTCAATGTGTAAGCCTAAATATAGTCATGGGTGATCTTGTTTGATTTGTCTTAACATATAGATTATTAATATATAATTGCTATAATTTTTTAATATACAAATTACAAGATAAAATGGATTAAAAGAGTGTATTGGATGGTGTGTAAAATGAAAGTGGACAAATACTCTGGGATGGAGGTAGTATGAGAGTAAATTCATTTAAAAGCTAGAATTCACTTTTGAAAATGAAAATACACACGTAATTACCACTAATCAAGTGTATCTTCTTCTCTTTTTTATTAGCACTTTGGTAAATGTAATTAACAAAGAATCTCATGTAGACCAAATTTTTTAAGGCAACTGATTTTGAATTATACTTCTTCTATTATGAACTTGAGGTTTTAGAGTTTTGGAGCATTTTCTTGGAATATCAAATCTAGGTTAATAAATTTGCTAATAAATTTGCACAGGGGAAGGTGTTTCATCATTCAGTCACTAAAGCATAGAAGCCTCTACCAAATCAATTATTCAATCAATAAGCGAATTAAATTCACCAACCTTAATTCTTTGTATAGCCAATATGCTCCGACCCCTCAATGGAACAACCTTGCTGTGCAAAAAAAATGGGAGTGAAAAATAATGAATATGTTGTTGAAGGAATGTGCATTATTTTCCAATAGAACATTTAAGTTTAGCGTTGCAAAAAATAATTTGACTTTGCCTTCTTATGAGAAGAGTGGTCACCTAATTAATAGGGAGGACTTGTTAGTAGCTTGTTCTTTGAGTAAAAAGAGAGAAGTGACTAAAACTAAGAAGTAAAATGATGATAACTTTCAACTCCTAATGATACTACATAACAACAGTGTACAGTTTTGGAAGCAAAACTACATTTTTAGCTACACATAGCAATAACAGTCTATGAACAAAAAAAGCTATAAATATAAAATCTTAACAAATTTGTCTAGATAGGTTGTAAAACGGGAGAGAATAAGGTAACAAAGATATTGAAAAATGGGAAAAACAATGAAGAATGTAAATTTTGTGATGATAGATCGCACCTTCCAAATTCTCATCTTCCGTATCGTAAGTATGGCATGATTTTTGAGTTCATTAATTTGCGGTTCCATCCTATACTTTTGAAGGTAAACAACACTTGGTGTTAGGTTCAGCCCAGTTAAGAAGTAGAAAAGAAAGGAAAATAATTTAATCAGAATAGACTACAATGCATGAGACAAAGGATTACATCATTGATTCAAAGTTTAAGGATTCTATGACCATACACACATTTCATATTTACCATAGCTAGAAAGAAAAAAATGAAATGAAATTGAATTATGAAATTGAAATGAAAAAAATGCACAAAGAAAGAAAAAGATGCATGAAAAATACCCGCAATTTTTTCCAGCCACCCTCATGCTTTTTTGGCTGGTATCATTGTGGGTTTTAACTTATTTAATAACCAATAAGCATGAAATTGATGATGGTTTTATATCTTTAAAACTTTGCCAAAGACGCGAGCGTTTACCTCCCTTTGCTGCCTGCTGCTACCCTTGGGTATTTAAACCAGAAAAGATGTCTTGAATATTAAAAGTGAGCGAAAAAGCTGCCAAATACTGCATATGTGCTCCTAAAATAGCACGAAAAACCAATTCCTCTCAATTTCCAAATGCAAACTCAATAAAATCAACACTCTCAATTTCATAGCTTCAAGAGTTTGATTCTAATTTCTTGAAGGAAGTAAATCTTTTATAACAAACTTATCGAGAGCCCCTTTTTGAAAAATGTATAAGCTTTCTAATTTAAATCAAAGCGTCGAAGAATAAAATAATAAACTTAAGAAAGAACCTGGAACTTAGATATGTGAAACCATATGCAGCCGCCTCCCTATCTTCTTGTCTGTTGCATGTATCCACAAATAATTCACACTCAACAATCTGATTTGTACAATAAATCTAAGTTTATGAGATTCATCAAACCCTGTAAAGTTCATGAATTAGACTTGATTAGAAGGAATCACTCCGTATTCTCAAAAGAGTGATTCAAATGCTTGAAAAGTACCACGGGAAACGTCCAAGGTGGAGCACAAAAAAGGAATACTGGCGTGTAAGACGATGAGGATTTGGTAGGAAGACGACGCTCCACCCGGCTTACTTTCTGATATGGAAACATCGCCATCGGAAAAATCTTCTTATAACGAATTAGACAAAGAAACATTGTCTTTTTAAAAATAGACCTTGTGTAATTGTAAAATTAGCAAAACGACAATTTGAAAAGTGAGACGTTTTGACCAATATCTACACTAATGGTAGACCACTAATAGCCACACTGACAATGAAGAGGTAAATTCATGCATATGATTTCAATTTCAGATTTTGTATTCCCCTTTTTGTTGATGAAAAAACACCATTATTTGGTGTTACCCTTAGTGGACATTTAAGAGAGAATTGATACTTTTTATATAGTCAAACTGACAATGAGGAGGTAAATTCTTGCATCTGATTTCAATTTCAGATTTTGTATTCCCCTTTTTGTTGATGAAAAAA